CCTCCAGTTCTATATATATATATATATATATATATGTAATAGTTTAATAGCATCAAGTTCTGAAACGTCACCAATGGTTTTCTATGCCGTGTGTCTGAAAGTGTAAAAACTCATTTTTTTATTTATTGTAAATAAGAGAGAATTCAAATTAATTCTGGGTTACGGCAAAGAATAGAATATACTCTTTAATATCAAAATATGGAATAAACATATATGCAATTAACTTACAGTTCCAAAATCATGAATGAATTTCATATAGTCGTAATTTTCTTTTGCATACGTAGTCGGAAGTACATTTGCCCTTTGAACGAATGCTCTAGCTAACGGGTATTTGTCGACCTGCGCAAGTCCATATGTATACCGTGCTTCCCCACGATAGCACAAGTCTAATTCTTCATAGTAAACATAAGAATTGCTTTGCATTGATGCTGATACTTCTTTATAGTCTTTAAAATAAATTGTATTAAATAAACAATTAGTAAGTTGGAAATTTGAATAGTGATTATATTAGTTATCCTTTCAATTACCTCCACCAAGAAGGTTATGTCTATTCACTGCTGTCTGTCTGTCGTTCTGTTGGTCGGTTGGTGTGTCTGTCTGTAAGCAAGACTCAGCAAAAACTAATGAATGGATCATAATAAAATTTAGTGGAATGGTGCATAATAATCAAAGAAAGACACCTTTCAATTTTCGGGGAAAAAGGTCAGAGGACATAGTCAATGTCACAGAATTTTTTTTTTAATTCTCGAGCATAACAGAAAATAATGGAATCGCCACTCACATTAAGGCAGCACTCAACATAACAATGCGCCAGAATATTTTCTTGAGGGTAGGCTGCAGCACTCAAAAAAATAGTGTGCTAAAATACGACAGGTGATTCCATTATTTCATTGAGGGTATGCTGCAGTTTCGTTCATTATACACGTCTGTATTCTGGCACGGGGCGGTGGTATGCATTCTATGGAGTACGTGACTGCTCTAGTTAAATATGTTTTGCGTAATAATACGTTCCCATAGGATCATCTTAAATATACATTAGTAAGAAAGGTAATCTTTCGTTTTATCCACACCACCTATTTAACCTCCTTAGAATGGGGCTCTATTTCAACCCATTTTATACTCTTTGGGTGGAGAGCAACAAATGTAAGGCAATGTGCCTGATTCAGAAATTAAGCGAAATGCACAGCGAAGGTTGGAACTCCCGATATCGAGGTTGACAATTGATACCGAAACGCAAGCGCTACCGCTCCACCAACCACTCCCCAATTCACCCGATACTTGTTTATCACATAATAATAATGAAATAATTACCCTCCCCTCTCCGAAGCTAATCAAAATTAAAATGCGATTTTTCTTTTAAGATTTGTCATTAGGCCTATATTGCAAATTGCTACAACGTACATAAACTCCTTTATGATTTTTTTAAAAATGCATTTGTGGCGCAACAGGTCGAGGGATAGTAACCTTAGATTATTTTTGTATTTTTTCCACAATAGCTCTTAGGTCGGGTGGCAAATGTAAGCTCGTGGTTCCCAAGACTACGACTTCAACCTATAGCTTTTGCTGTGGCAACTTCAAATTTGTGGAATTCCTTACCTCCACAAGACAGTGCATTACTTTTTAAGACCAACCATAAAGACCTTCTTTAGTTTAGTTTTCCATTAATTTAACATCATATCCATATTCTGTTTTTTATGTACAGCGCATTAAGGGCTTGCTTATTTTTATGAGCTTTATAAGAATAAAATATTATTATTAACTTCACTTCTCTGAAGGAGAGGTAATGGGTAGTGCAATGGTGCGCATTGGTGTGCGTGTGTGTGTGTGTGTGTCAGTGATGTGTGTGACGTTCAGGGCGCATAACTCAAAAACTACTTTTTACCGATTTACTTCAGATTTTCACACCTTCCTGAATCTCACTTCTCCCCTCGAATGTGGTACTGATCTGAAGTAAGATGCAGATTTTACCCGGTATTCTTAAAATGAACTTTAGCCGTAGTTCGAACTAAAACTTCATAATTACGTCAAAGTAATCTTAGACATAAGTAAAGCAGCCGAGGCGGGAAAGTCATCCGACTATCTGGAGGACCGGCAGTAAAGTAAATAAGTAAGTAAGTAAAAACGTGCTTTTTGTAACTTACGATAAATTGAAATGAATAAAAACGATTGTATAAATAGGTCCAATGTATCTCTCAGTGTGTTCAAGAAAAGGGACATTACGTTTAGCTTCCAAAAAGCGAAATTAACAATGTTTTGCTAGACACATGCAAGTTAGTTCCTGATTTAAACGAAATCCCATCGCGTCGCGGTCACGTAGCTTCACCATAGCAACAACAAAGATGGCGTCGCCCTCGTCCGACCTCAACTATAATAGTTCTCCAAATAAAGCAAATTTTTAGTGACAGTTAAAATTTTCTATCGTTAGATGTTAACGACTAATATAGTTATTATTATAGAATATTATTTAGCGAATAATGGTCTATTATGAATTATGAGGAAATAAAGACTGCAGTTTAAAATTCATCCGCGCTACCGGATTGCTAAAATTTCGTCTGCTATTAAAATTAGCTTTTTTCATTGGATAGTTTGATAGTTGTTGCTTGCCAACCATCTTCATTACCTAAACTACAACTAGGACTTGATTTAGTCGTACAGTAGTTAAAACTTCGACTACGTTGTGTGTGAATACAATCTGAAGTTGAAGTTGCAACTAAGACTAAATTAAGTACTAGTTCGAAGTTGGACTAAAGTTCGTTTTAATTTAAAGTCCCATTCCCGGCAAAATTTCACTAAATTTTGTTTTACGCAAAAGAATTAAAAAAATGAGAAATACAGACTATTTCTCATAAAATATTACCATTTTCTGGACGAATTCATCGTTACTAGGCAAATTCAGAGGTTGTAGATCGCATCCACTGGAATACTCTCGCTTTTTATTTATACTTTATACAGTCAATAAAGTGCGCCCTCTCTAATGAGATTAGTTTTTTTACTTCGCATCTCGCACAATGCGGTCGTTCGGTTAGGCTGAGATATGTATGTTTAAGTGTCAAAATCTCAGTCAGAATCAGTTTTTTAACAAATTTGAAATAATTCCTGTGAAGTATTATATTCACAAGTGTCAATTACTAGCAACGGAAAATATCATGTCGGCCGTGTTTATGTGTGATAACAGAACCTAAATCGAGGTAAGGCTAGGCCTAGCCTAGCAGCATTGGATAGGCTAATGTTTTCGGCGCCTATGATATTTCTTCTCACGACCTATCGAAAAATCAACATGAAAAATTCATCCGCATTGATTTTTTGTGTGGAACACAAAAAATCAAGTTTCAGTCTTATTTTACATTTTTTTCATTCTTAGGAATGTCTAAATTCATTTAAACTAGCAATTCCGTATTATATTTATAAATCTTTATAACATTATACAAAATTAGATTTTTCTTAAAAACTGAAATTTTGCCGGGAATGGGGCTTTAAGAATACGGGCGTTAAAACTTTATCTATATATTGTTCGGCCACAACTGACAAAGCCAACTCCAGCGGATCGGCGTGCAAACTCACCCGATTGATGGGCTTGCCACGTGAAGCCTATGATGCCGCTCGTTTGGCGGACGGAGAGGATCGACCACCGGCCATTACTTTTTCAGAACATAAATGTGACTAACAGGGAGGGGTTTGTAATCTCAGATTATGTTGTTATTATTATTTATTTTTTCCTCATTCTATTTTTGTAATCATAGTTTATTCATATATGTGTTTTCCTGTAGTGAGTGTTGACCACCAGATTTGAATTATGGTAGAATTTTAGTTCATAGCACTGGTAACAAAAAAAAGCCACCGACGGTCAATAAACATTCGCCCTACATTATGTAAATTGACGTCATCATTTTCGGTGGCCGATGTATTTACTTGTCTGTTGGTTTGGTAAGAAAATGCAATGTAAATTACATAAGGGCCTATGAAATAAAATACATTTTTAGCATACAAAGATAGCAATTCATATATTATATTAAATTGTAATGTAGTATATTATCTCGAAACAAACACTGTATTTGATAATCATAATAATCTTTTCAAAGTCATTAAACGGTCAATCAATAACACTTACAGCTGCTATGGCTAAATTTTGTGGATCCATATCTGAAGCGAACACCAGCTGAAAAAATAAGTATATGATTAGATTAGGAGCCGCTATCAGTCAAATACCAAGCTATAAATTTCTGGAGAGAGATATTTACATAAATAAGAATTATTAGACCTATATATTAGTTTATACAAAAATGCATAGTAATAATGAACAACAAAAACAATGGTAATAATATTTGATGTTCAGGAATTGAGAGTCTTAAAACGTTTTTCAGAGATGAAATGATTATAAATAACACATCATGGCTAGATGTATAATAATAATATTTTGCGCAATATAAATATATAACCATTAACATTTTTTAACGTTTAATTAAAAAAAAACTATGTCAAATATTTTAATTTACCACTAAAGCTAACGTCATTTTCAAATTTTGACGCATAGGCGTACGCATTGTGGAATAGTTCGAGTTTCTGGGATTTTGCACAACTTGATGACGGAGCAAAGGAAACTTGATCTGGTGTCGAACCCCCATTGAAGGTCCAATCAAATACTCTCCAAGTTGGGCGTAGTCCTGGGTCTGCGGCAGCAGTCGCTGGGCTTCCATCTGGATTACCATAGAGTAAATTGTAGCCTATGCCAAGATAGTCAATACCACCGGGATACGATGCCTTTGCACCCACTCCATTAACAAGCAACATCGGATCGATCTGATATGGTGGTGGTTCAGTAACGGCATAGACTAACAATAGCCCATGCATAAGGAGAATAAATACGCATTCCATAATGTCTGCCAAAGATAAATATTTAACATTTTTTAATTTTAAAATCTCATAAGTGGAGTAAGAATTTTGGACTAGATATTGACATGAAATCGTACAATTTTGTATTGAAATGCTTTACCAAATTAAATGGTAATCAGGAGGATATGACGAATAAACTCATTCCAAAGTTAGTTATTTAATGTGAGGTCCAGAACGTAAAATGGTCGACCATGACTTAAATAAACTGATCGTAATAATTTAATAACCCATTTTCGCCACAAAATCTTGGAAAGTATCTCTATTAACATTACGACCTAATCATCAAGGGGCGCCCGTATTAAGGAGACACTTTTTTGCTCCCAAAATTGTCCCTTTAATAGGGGTTCTACTGTATTATAAAGTCATTTTAATGAAAGCAGATGCATGTTGTGTTTGAATTGTGATGCTGATGCTGTCAAGATAAATGTAATCAATGTTGTTATTACATACATTACAAAATACAAGAGGAACGTAACAGCCTGGAGAATTAATTGTATGTAAACGACCAGAAATACTTTTTTAACCACACAATCTACTTCATCTTGACACAGAAAAATCAAATGCTGTACTAAAATTATGCAAATCTTACATGCTTATCATACTTCAGCAGAATGGTCATCTTCACTAGCTAAGTCATGCACAATTTAAAAAATTAGCCACTAGATATTGTCGGCAACATTAGAAAACATCTATTGGATGCGTTACAAATGTTACGAACATTCTCATTAGCTTAATTGTAAATGGCATCACCCATTTTATTTTCTAAGCTAAAGGCAAAGGGAAATTCTACGTCAATACGGACTCATTGCGCCATTTAAACAAATTTCTTTTGTGCTAATATTAAAAAAGATTACGAATCTATGTGGATACTATGGATAAGGATAAAGCTACCACAGAATATTTGCCGCAAAAAATAGAGTTCCAATGTATATTCCAATTCGTCACCACACCACAAAAGGATACAAATCTTTCACTTTTGGTTATGTAAACCGGAATCTACGTTTACGCCAAATTGTTAGGAATAAAACTACATCATCGTGGAATAAAAAAAATCATCAGGATCCAAAAGTATTCTTGAAATTGTCATGTTTATTGATCCAATCCAAAAAAAAAAAAAATGTAAAGGGTGTGTCGGTGACGATTTTTCTAAACGCAGTAAGCAATCACAAGATCAGTGTACATAGCTTGCTAATTTGCGTTTTAAATGACCTAGGGAGTTTTTCAAAAAGCTTAGTGCGTTACGTTGGTGTGCTTTGAATCCACTCGTCTTGAACAGACGGAAAAGCACCTAAAGGCAGTTAATCGGACCTGAAATTACCCAACGGGAAGCAGAAAGAAGATGTTCACGCCTGTGAGAATGTGACTATGAAAAAGAAAATACCGTAACGATTAAATTTAATAGCAAAAGTAGAGAGAAAAATACAAGAGACTAGATAATATTGGTGTAGATTTCATGCAGTCAGCCTGCCCACGGCCACACACATAGGCCTACATCTCCAGCATGATAAAGGCGGCAGCCTACAAGAAAAAGAATTCAACACAGTAAAGCGAATCACAATCTACTCTTTATCTTACCTTACGAATAAGCAATGCAGGCTTCCTCTTGCTTCAATATTGCAATGAGGGATTTTTTAAAGACTAGGACTTTTATAATAGCTACACTGTTATAGTATAACAACAAGGTAATTACCTTATCTTAATGGTTAAACGTTTCTGGACAAAATACAATTTAGTCTTATCAGAGTCTCTTTAATGTTTATGCTATCATATTTGACGATTTCGTTCAAATCAATTACACAATCCCTGTACACAGCCTGTCTTTCACACTTTTCCGTAAAGGTCATTGTGCTGAATTAAGTAAGAGCGTGGTCCGTGACTACTGTAAGAGTCTTATTAGTCTTTGGACAATTTGTGAAAATTAAGGGCGTAACACAAAACAAATTGCATTAGTTTCAATCATGATTTCTTTGATTCTACTAGTATCTGGAAATATCATTTTCAAAATCTACCAAAATCTGTTAAGTAGAACATGCTTTTTTGAGGGGTCAAATGGTCATGGGTGAAATTTATAAAAGTCACATATCTCTGTAACTGTTAGGTGCAGAATAGTGGCATTAAAATACTCGGAAGATCCATGTTTATTCAATATTTGACCCTATAATTTGGGTTAACTTATATCTCAACAACCACATGTCATAAAAAGCTCAATGCAGTCTTAAATTACTCAGAAGACCCATATTTATATTCACTCTTATGGAGAAGTTTCACCAAAAATGACCGGAAACATTTAGAATTCATTCAGCAACCACTAAACAGGCCAAAAGAGTCACATACTGTATATTTGTAACTGTTAGGTGCTGAGGAGCTAAGTTGAAACCAGGTGAAGGGTATTTATAAACAAATTTGAAATAGTTATATACGTTACTATTATTGATCCTTAATACTATAGACATTAGGCCTACACTGGCTATATGGAGGCGCTTAATAAATTTATGTTCACTTTATTCTTTACGCAGGGAGTTGTTATAGTGACGTTACCCTTCTCAAAGTTTCTATAATTGTTATGAGTACTCACAAGCTAAATGAGTACACTTTAAAACATCAAAGTCAAGTAGAGAATTAAAGGCAGCTTACGATGTTGAAAATTATCATACACAGGGGCGGATCCAGAGACGTCCAAAAGAAGTGGGTGGGGGGCGAAAGTTGGGCCTATTGAGACCATTGGCGTTGATCGGTGGGGACAGGGGCACCCGCTCCCCACTTTTTAAAGTAGGGGGACATCATATCGATTGTCACCCCACCCTCTTATACACATCTAGATGTGTATAAGAGACTTCTATAATTAAAACCCCACAGCGAATGTAAAGAATAACAATTACGCATGACTCATGAATTTTGTCTGTTCAGTTTTCAAAGTGCAGTACGTATTTTGCGGACCAAAACCGAGTAAAAAGGCAATTGTTTATACATTATTTTTGTAACCATCTCAGAAACCACTTGATCGATTTTATGGGTGCAACGGTTATCAGAGGCTAAATTTATTGTGAAAACAATGTACTGAACGTTGTTAAAATTGGAAGCGTGTATGCTTATTAGGCTAATATTTTTACAAACCTAAAAGTGCACAATTTCTACTGTAAACGATTTATTCATTTTGTATATTATTATGACCTGTACGTATATACTAGTGTTTAATATTATTGACATACATAGGATTACTGTTTTTTCTAATTTAAAAAACAAATATAGTTAGTCAATTGAATTTTATATAGTGATTATAAAATAATAATTTTACAGCCTTTGACACGGACATGTCCATCTGTTTTGATTTTAGTGATACCAAAACTTTACAAACTCCAGTGTTACGCTAACGCAATCTCGCAATGGCGTCATAATAATCAGTGGTGGATTCAAGTGGGGCCGAGCCGACCCAAAATTTTTCAAAATTATTTTTAAAAAATGAAAAAAAAAGGAAAATTATAATTAGAATTTTCTGCATTTCCTGCAATCTAGAGGTGTCATAAACATAAATTTTCTTTCCTCAGCCCAAACCATGGTGGGGCTGAGGTGATCTAGTCTCCCAAATTGTGCAAGTCCCTCCCTGTCCCCCACCCCCACTATTTTGCTTTCCTCCTGGAGCCGCAACTGATCATGATAGATTAAGTAAATCAACTTTATGTTTGTGAAATCAAAATGCTAATTAATGTTTTGTGTGCTTCCTATCTCCCTAGTTATGTTTGATCGTAAATTAGACGGTATTATTTAGTGTAGTCGCAGTATTGCTTAAAACAAAAGTGAAATTCAAAATGAGGAGAAAAGCTAATACCTCTTAATCGATTTTAAAAGTACTGTACATGCAAAAATACTAAATTTATGACTGTTTTAATTTTGTTTTTTGTTTTTCATGGTTCGAATTTTGAATACGTCACAAGCTAATTAGTAGATATAATAAATCATTATTTTTATAAATGTTTTGTACGAAATAATGTATAAGCGGGCATAATTATGAATAAAAGGATAATTTTTAAAACTCTTATGATGAGTATTTTAGTGGCAGATTCAAAGGGCCCAGCCAGCCCACCATCCCTAATTTTTTTCGAAATTTAAAAGTGGAGAAAAAGTAAAATTATATTCAAATTCAGTCTGAGAGTACCATTTCCTACCAACTAGAGGTGTCATAATCATAAATTTTCTTTTGGGTTTACACTCTCTATCTTTAATAGTCCCTCACTGGGCTCCGTTTTGTTTCAAATTACTGGATCCGCCACTGGATATTTTGAAAATTTTGTATAGAAATAAATTTTAATTGCATTACTTAATATCAATTAAAGGCTATAGGCGCGAGAGCTTCTGGGTGCTTCGTCCACAGGTGGCGCCAGCGGGGGGCCTGGGGGTTAGGGTCCCCGTCGGGGAGAAAAAAAATATATGTATTTTTACATATTAGTAGACTCTAAAACCGATTAAGTAAGTCTTCGAAACTCCTAATTGTCGAATTTAGGAGTTTCGTCGGGCAAATCCCGGCGCCACACCTGGCTCCGTCCCATGGTCCCAAACCAATGCTTGGGCCTACGGCCCACGGCTATATTTTTCATTTCGTCCCCGCCCCCACACCTTTTAACCAAGGATCGACACTCTTGATTGAAACAACACTGCCCTAGGGGGTCCGGGGCATGGATAACAATAAATACTATACTATACTATCCTCTCCTCTCCTACAAGAAACCAAGCCATTTTGGATTTAGTAATAACAAACATTCGAGAAATTTATTCTGCCTGTAATTACACCACCAATCGGACGCAGCGACCATAATTGTATCTTTCTAATGCCTTAACGACAATCGAAGAAGAGCTGTATTAAAACGATAGTTTCTCAACCCATTACGGATTCTGGCCTAAAACAATTTGGTAGAGGGATACAGGAACAATATATCATTGTTAGAAGAGTTGATGATGTGCAATTGAAAGCAAGCGCCTTTTATGAAATTCATAATCCTGCCATTGAAAAAAAAATTTCCAATACGATTAACTAGAATTTACATTGATGACCGTAAACATGGATAACAGGTAAATTCAAAAGCTTATTAAAACAAGACAAATGGAATTTGCTAAATGCCAACTTGCCACCTATTATTTTAAAATGGGTTATTCGTTTTGTTTCTGGACGCCAACAACGGGTAAAATACAATAACTCTTACTCTGACTCACTGGAATACTTTGCAGGTGGTGTCCCACAGGGGACATTTTTGGCACTAATTATAATCCTGTGTGATCAATAGGGCACTGACAGACAGTGAGGAGTCAAATGTTCATGTCTTGAAGTACGTGGATGACTTGACACTTGGTGAAAGTAGGTATTTACATGAACCTATTAACATCCAAAATGATGATCTGAATAACTGGTCATTAGATATGAAGCTGAAGCTTAACCATACCGAGTGATGCAAGTTTATTTTGGCCGAAGGGCACTTCCAGAGATGAACATTTTCATATCTGATTACATCCTCCCTACTGTCGATAGTGTGAAACTCCTCCTTGACAGGAATTTGAAATGGGAAAGTAGCACTAATGCTATTTTTAGTAAGGCCAACAGAGAAAATTATTATTAAGATTAGGAAACTAAAACAAACTGATTTGGATCACTATGATTTAACTGTTATCTATAAATCTTACATCCGCCCTCTTTTTTGAGGACTCTGGTTGATATAGTGCACCAAAAAATTCACAGGAATCAGAAAAATAAGTAACTCAAAATTGCACAAAAAAATACAACAAAAGGTTCATGTATAGAAAGACGAAAGTCCAAGTACGCAAACCCACCCGGCACTCACCCCATTCCCCAAAACACAGCAGTAAATTAAAAACAGGAAAATAAACAAGTACGTATGATAATTGAGTACATATTAGTACCTAATATTAACGTATGGGATGGTACTCCTATTATATCTTTCAATTTTACATCTTATCTAGGAGTGTTTATTTGCAATTGTCAGACAATAAGATATAATTTTATTTCTTTGTTTTGGGATCCAACTATGGAATAGACGCTGTTTACTAAGATTAGTAGCAAACTTTTTAGATAGGTTGAATCATTTATCGTTAAATTTCTCGATATTGAGTAATTTAGGAGCTTCATCATAATGATTATATTTATTCCTCATTATGATTCTTAGCGCCGATTTCTGAACCATTTCTAGTTTTGAGTTTTGATATAGTGATTCCAGCGTTCCCAAATAGACAAGGAGAGACCTCATATAACCCTTGTTGACAACTAAAGCCCAATTCACGTCGGAGTTAACCCGCCTATCTAAATCTAGAAATGATCAGATAATCCCCTTTTTTGCGTTCGATGCCAAGTTAGAGCCAGGTAAACAAGCCAGCCATTCGCGAGGCCGTCGACATCACTAAACAGGAATTGTGGGAAATACCAGACTGAAAAGGTTCGTGCTTTGGAAAGGTTTGTTTATAAGACATTTTAGGTACGCTGATTAAATCATCTTCTAACCACAACCCCTGATCATCAATGTAAACTAAAGGATCCAAGGCAATTTTCTCTGCTCAAAATTGAAAGTGAAAGAGCCAAAAAATTCATTACCAACTACGGAATCTGAAAAAGATTTAGTAAAATTAACCTGTGTCCGTCATCCTATCTAACCTGATTGAGCTACATCCCTATATGGTAGGTTTTTTTTTTTAAATAAGAATTTTTATTTTCTGGTGTTTTTCTTGCCTCTTTGTTTAATTGAATACTGACCTTTTTTAAAATAATTGATAACATTGTATTACTTTAATATAAGTCATTTTTGTGTATACAGTAACCACAATAACAATTTTTATCTTTTGATGTTTTTTTTTTCTTAATACCAATTAAATTGGAGTTAAATGAAGTATGCACAGAAGGAAATTACTGGTTAAACTAATAAATAATTACCATTTCATCTACACAAGACGATGTCAAATATATTTAAAACAAGGGGTAATCTCAAACATTGTTTTGGTATCAACATCCTCTAATTCAGTCCAAAGCATCTGTAAAATACCCAGCGATAGAATTATACCAATATTTTACAGACGTAAATCCAAATGTAGCTAAAAAAATCATTGATAAAGCATATTTTAGAATTATTTTTTTTCCAGACAAAATAAGTATATAGATGAGGAGTCAATGAAATTACTCGCATCAGCTTTGGTAAAATGTAATTTATAGGGTGATGGGTTAGTGGCACGCTCACAAACGCTCCAATAGCGAAATGATCACAACCGGCAAGTGCGGCAACCAGCCCGAAGGTTGTCGTAGGCCGCATTTGCCTATGACTAAAGAGAAGGTGCAAACCCTCGACGGAGAATACGAAGGATTGGATTGGATTGATTTATTCGGTGTGAACACCAAGGATAGCCAACGAAAGTATAGAAGACTTATTTCCTGTCCTTCGGGGTCCTTCCCTGGCCCGCCCAATTGTGCTATCGTTGGTGAGATCCCTCCAAGGAGCATTGGCTTTCTGTTTTCGGGCAGACACTGGCGCCACCACTTGTTAATTACTATATAAAAAAAGTGTTCTATATTCATAGGGCTTGTGGATGCATTGGGTCATTCGCATGACGTGCGAAAACAAATTTAGCTCTCCAAGTTAATCATTGGCTAGTGAACTAATACAGAAACATTTGTTTGAAAAAGGAACAAGATATGAAATAATTAACTTTTTCTATCAACAGATGCTTTAGATGTAAATTTTCACACATTATTATTATCAAATAAAACAATACGGGTGTATATGTATTCAGTTGTCCTAGTGGCGAATACATTGATGTTTTTCATTTCGTAACTTGTGTAAAGGTAAGCCTATAGTAGGTGTCCATTAAAAACATACAATTTCAGTTTTTGCTTCCAAGTGAAACAAATTTAACAAGTGATTTTTTTGATGATTTGTTTTGATTTTCATCCAGGCTAGAAAACAAAGTTATGAAGGTGATACTCCTGTGTGCATTCTGTTTTGCAACTGCTCATGCTACATTACCTCCTCCTTCAGCAATCAACTTTCTTGGAGTAGGTTACAATATACTTGATGGTAATCCCGATGGAAGCGATATATCTATTGGAGGTGTAGATCCCGGACTTCTGACCACGAGAAGAGTGTTTGAAATGACCTACAACTATGGGAAAAAATCTGCAGATTACCAATACTACGTACCTGATCAGGTGCTACATTTGTTTAATTCATTTCTATATTCTTCATTTCTATATTTTTCATGTCAGTGTAAATTTTATTGTAAATTATCTGCTAAATTATACTAAAATAAAAGGCAAATTTTTTTTATATCCATAGTGTTATTTTACATTGTATGACAGAAAAGAACGTGATTGTTAGTCCAAACACGCTCTCCAGAGTTGCGTGCGGGCTTTACCTACAGCTTCAAAATTTGCAGACAGCTACTCTAAGTAGACGTTGAATCTAGTGACCAACTGTTTAAATACTAATGGATAATCCAGTAATACAAAAAAAAAAAAGAAAAAGAAAAAACACTAGTTGTTATAGACAGATATTTTCTGTTGGCAGAATGTACAGATTATATTTTTTATTTTATTTAAAACATATTTAGACACGATAACTTATACAGACGAGATCTTAACGCTGTTTTACATTAGTCCGGCAAAAACACTGTACAATAACAACAAACAATAAAGCAACCAGAACAAAACAATGTAAAATAAAAATAGTAAACCTTTGATGGAAAACTATCCCCCGCCGGACACCACCCCAGTATTTCTGAGTCAAGGTTTCGAGACCGGGATTACAAGGTAGGACAAGTACAATCACTAAAATAAAAATGGTAAAACTAACCCATCCCAGTATTTCTGAGTCAATGTTTCGGGGTTCGGATTACAATTTTTTAACTTAACTACAAAACTTAACTACAGAAGATGAGAAATATTCGTTCTTGTTAACTATTTATTCAAACAAACCACTATTACTATAATTTTTAACAAGGGGGAAACAACAGCATTCAGGCAGGATATGAATTTACAAGTCAAAAATATGTTTTTGATTATGACTTCAAGATTGGGTAGAATTCCTTTAGAAAAAGAGGTAGTAGAAGATTTAACTTATGTGTCTTCAGAGGTTTTGAAATAATAACCTCTCTTATTTCGTCAACTAATATTTTTAATCATAACATTTCCACCACTTTATTGGCGACTGTATCAAATGTCCCTCCTCTTATTTTATAATACGCTTATCTAGATAACACATAGGAAATAAGTCTACACTCTCTGCTTCAGCTGTTATTTGAAGAGTACTGCTTTACTTTACATTTTTTTTAAATTTGTTTTTATGCATTTGCTTAGGCATTCTTTGTGGTGTCACTACATTTTTTGTTATACTACTTAAGGTATGATATATACCATCAAGACTTACTGTTGATGCATCTGGACAAACCACATCTGTGTTTTGTGTGTATCACTTCTGTAAAAATATCAAATGATATCAAAGCAACCTGTTTGTTAGAATAAATAGTTTAAGATCAAGATTAAATTTTCCTTTTTTTTTGGAAATTTTGGCCTGGAATGACCAGCGGCAGCGCACAGTGCAGTGCCAGTTCCGACATATAACAAATACATTATACTTTATCTCACCTAACTCTCATGCGAAGGTTATTTGAAGAGCCGAGCGATCTGCCTGCAATTTAAACCCGACGCTGGCCGGAAAAATCAGGAACATTACCTCTAGGCCAAACACTCCGCCTCATTTTTACAGAAAATTTTTCGGTAGGTTGTTTTTATGCCACGTTCAAGTTGTGCAAATACTATCACCAAAGAAATGTTCTGGGGAACTGAAAGTTACCAACAGAAGTTGAAAAAAGAGACCAGTTGGTCAGGTTTGTTTTAATCAATTTTTATTGTTGTTACAAAATACAATAAATTATTATTAAACCTATTTATTTCACAACATGTAGGCCTATATATTCAATTCAAGTCAATTTCAATTTATTGCTTCAATATGCCATTATGGGCCATTATCCGCCAAACATCGTAATACAATACAAGTTACAATAAATAATTGTAATGATTTTTTACATGTAAAAGAGAAAGTGAAGAAACACACACACACACACACACATACGCACACCAAACCACACACACATACATAGCCTTAAAATATAATTTTGATATTAAATAATATCAAAATGCTAAAATGATATTACAAAAACATAGTAATAGAGAACTAAAATTAGCCATGTTGTTTATTTAAACTTAACAGAAATACAAATAAATTTAGCACACAGATTGACAAAATAATATGAATTATTGCTACACTTTAAATAATTTATTCGTTATGATGGGTAAACTGACCCCCACCCCTTTCCATATGACTCCAAAAGTAGGAATATAAAGAAAGGGTCGAATTATAGAAAATATTCACCACCGCATTTTAAAGCGTGAGCGTCTAATAGATATGATACTTGGGAAACTCACAATTACTGGATGTATGTTAACTTGTTTGATGACGACTACCCTAGTTTAACTTCTAAAGTAGTTTTTGTTTGGATAAAATCTTTAAAAATATTCTACTAGTTTAATCAAATATTACAGCATTACATACTGTTTACAAAATCTGGGAGCACCGATTACATGTTAAAATATCAGTGAAACCTGTAGAGTATTGTGACCGACAAAACTCGTTTACACTGTGTATGTGCTTCTGATGATGAAGTATAATAACCTTAATGCATTTACACTTAACGTTATGCTAAGCATACTAAATTTATTTGTTAAATGTAAACTTTATTTGGTTTTTTTTCAGTTGGACTTGACCGGAGGTTTCTTGGATTTGAATTTTCCAAGAGTAAATGTAAGTGACACATTTTGTACATAAAATACAAATATCAGGTAAAGAATAGCCAGTGACTGTACGACGCAGCTCTACAGGCTTTATCGTCGCGTCATCATTTGTGTTTAGTTTAAACGTAGACATGGCTCGTCGCAAGACTGTCGAGGACAGACTATGGCCACCGGTAGACGGCGGCGGGCGGGCCTCCATGAAAAATAGCGTTAGTGTTTATTATACCAGTCCAGAATAATGACAAATAAATAGTGATAAGCCGAATAAAGGAAATAACAGAAGAAAGCTACATAAATAAAATTAGAGCCTATATAATAAAGTTATCGATCTAGATGGAAATACTATGTTTCTTTTTTCTTTTATTATTGTAGCGTACGAAGAGGTACTTCGATCCATAGACTCCAATCGGTATGTGTATTATGAGGATCGCACGGTGTGCAATCTCGGCCAGGCTCGTTACACCTCAGAACTCGCATTCTTCGACAAGTACCCGCTGACGAAAAGCTTCGTTATTGAAGCTTGTAATCTCCCTGCTGTTTTTGACAATGACGCCTATATGGATTTTCTCGATGACTGGGGAACGGTAATAACATAAATATAACTATATCACTAAAGATATTTTTGATTAACGTAACTAGGCGAAGCCCGTAGGGTCTATTTAATATAGCTTTGACACACTATACTCAAGTCCATATAGTGGTGTATAGAAGTCTTGGAATGGGTGGGGGCTGATGGGTGTGGAGGTTATGTTGGGGCTCGATGAATAATTTAAGAGTCGCCAGCTCTCGAAATAAGGGGATATTTGGTGATTTTAAACTACATGAGCGTGTTCTTTTTTTTTTCTGTCAGGGCGACTGGATACGACACAGTGCCTTGAAGCCGGGCACTCACTGCGTCGTACTATTATATGAGTTTATCGTGGTATAAACCGTAGCGTTATTTATTTCTTTATCTGATGAAATAGGTATTAATACTAACCAAAACAGATGGTCAGTTTCCCTCAATACTATTGAAACCAATCTTGCCTGGTGCTTACCACAAAACGTGAATTCAGCTTAGGGCTTATAGGCTATGTTCAGACACATCGACTTAAGCTAGCGTAACGTAACTTGTGCACAACATAGCGAACGCCAGTATTAACGTGCAACCACCAACCATCTGTTCTATTCTCTCTATGCACCAACAGACACCAGATTAACGTATGTAACAAAATTACGACAGTCATGCATCAATGATTTTGAACTCGTCCAGATATTGATCAATCACATTAAAGCCTAGATGTAGGAAATATAATGCACGATTACGAATACGAATAGGCCTATTTCGCGCGAATACTTAAGCTAGCGTTCGTTAATCCCCAATTTGGACATCTCGATAGTTACGCCACGGATTAACGTGCCGCAGGCGTTAGATACGCATGGCTTATCTGTCAGGTCTGAACGTAGCATTAGAATAAATCATTAACCAATCACAAGTGCGTTGTTTAGTTTAATTTTGCACAACTTGAACATTGCCTGGCACATAAAAAAGCAATACACGTAGGACTTCATAATATCCACCTCATGGTGAATTTAGAAGATTAATTTGAAACTGTGTTTTCTTTATTTTCGAGTAGTCTAATGTGTATACGCACATGTGTATGACCATTAAAACAAGATTTAATGTTTTAATAGGTCTAACTATACCCAATAGTTTCAACAAAATCTGTGTAATGAAAGTGGTATGTGAAACCAGTTATGTTTAAAGTCTGTTTTCATAGATTTTCCTAAATAACTGTACTCCAAAGGCCGAATTTTATATTTTAGAAATGATGGTGTAATTATTATTGCTTTTATTATAGAATGTCATACTCGAAATTAACGTTGGTACAAAAAAATTAGATCGGTACGAAGAGACACAAGAGGCGTTCGTGTACTATGCCATGGAAACGGTTTGAACATTTTTATTCTAAACTTTTTTATCATGTGTATACATATATTTAAAGAAATTGTCCCCATTATTTTGAAGTTTAAAATCGCATACACAAATTGAATTTAGTCACATTGCATTAATGTTATAAATTAATATATATATGATTGTACAAACATGTATAAAATAGGTGTATAATGTTTTGTAAATCAAGAACAAAATAAGATGCTTTTTTACCCTGTAAGAATAGGTGTACTATTTTTGTTATTTTTTGTTCAACATCCAAGAATTCCAAAAGTACGACTTCAGGTGGTTCGTTTCTGGGATTTGGATCCTCGGTAACTGTTACCATGTCGGATTTCGAGAGTGGCATGACGTCAGAGACCAAGTTTGGCAGTTTCCAGTACACACTTAACAGCGGAGATGAAGACATGCATGAACCAATCTCAGTAACATTGCTTGGTATGGAAGAGGTTTTCACTACTGATTATTGGACACAATTCAGCAAGTATGCGAGTGATGGTCTGTGTAAGGCAGATTGGATCAACAACTTGGCAACAATTCAGGCCAACATGGACCAAGCCATGTGGGGATATGCAGCTCATAGAGGTGCTATCATGTCAACAGGTACATATTGGTCCCTGTCATTCAAAACATTTGTAAGCCCAAGTACCATTGTTTTCCTGATGCTCTACTTAATTGATTCTACTCATTGATTATGGGTTGTTATTTTAATCTTACAAAAATAAAATGGCCCGTTAAGGGTCACGGCAAATATTTCAGCTCTGCAGAAGATAGTTGAAGACCAGTGTGAAGAACTATCATTACAGTAATGCCTTTGTGGGCCTTTCATTGCGTTTCTCACAATTAGGACCTACACTTTAGCGGTTTAAGTCAAAATACTGTGCTACACATAACCGCTTATTAACACAAGTTGGTGTACAGTGTACATCATGTACAATACAATATACCATGCGGTTTGGCGAAGAGATTATGGTTCTGCATCCCAACCTTAAAATCAGATTTTCTGTCAATCACTGTGCATTTCGTTTTTTGCAAGCAAATTTTACCTACGGTTGTCTCTATCCATCCAGGAGTACAAGTGGGTGCCTGGTATGTTCAAACACAAAATGAAAACACGCTGATTACAGCTAAAACATTTGGAAATATCCCCAGGAGCTAAGTGTTCTAGGTGGTCCATCCAATGAACGGAAGTGATTATATGAAGTGCTTCTTGGAGAACTGGTTGGCGTTAAGCGCTATTATCTAATATATTATTCAATTGAATTCAAATTTCTTTATTGCAATCACGTATAATATACTGAATTTACAAAAAAATACTGTAAGATTCGGTCATATCAGGGATACAAACAAATTCAAATTCAAAATTCGAAAAGGTCATTCAGTCAAACAAATTAATATTCGAAATTCAAAAAGAGTGAAAAAAAATCTGTATTCACTGCTGGGGTGTTTAATTCCTTACGATGGCTGAGGTTGTAGGCCCAGTTGTGGTCAAGGGGAGGGATAGAAGGTAATTCAGTCGGTGATCTCTGTCCTTGAGTTTGTGAAAGTACCGTTTGCATAATAGCAATAATCAGTTATGCAAAAAAGGTAATTTGAGAGTTACCACGTCTGAAATATACAATGTATCAAGATGCACTTGACTGTAGGTTTTTGATTTTTTTTAATATTTGATTTTGTTGTTTTTGGGTCAGACCAGTGTACCCGAGCGGACAACATGCATATTCAATGACTGGTCTGATGACACAGCAGAAAAAATAACGGAGGTCATAAGTTTGTAAGCATGATCTACGCAACTGCTTACGGAATAAATCCTACTATTGCACTTTTTACACACATTGTCAATGGACCTCTTGCCATGATCCCACACAGTTTTCTGAGCTATAATGTTTGTAGTTTTGAAATTAATTTTAGCTAAGAAACCCTATTACTATGCCAATCTGGATTTCTGCGTTCACATCTGAATTGTGTTGAATTAGATATATTGTGCTTTTCACCATAGTGGTAAACGTTTCTAGACAGTACCAGTGTAAACGCTCTTAATTTTCCGAAAGAATTCATACCAAACAATATAGATTGCTTTAAACATGATGTTACATTATCTTTCTGTTCCAATATACTGTTATAGATATACCTCAATAAGTGTATTAGTGTCAACATAGGTATAATTCGCTTAACAAAACGTGATTCCTACTTTACAGATCCTGTTGTACAAATCCCCATTACGTGGCCTCAAGGTACATACGGGTTAACACAGCCAAAAGTCGGGTGCCCACTTACACCGCACTTCAACTGGCACACTGGATGGCGTAAACACGACACAGAAAAACGCAACGGCTGGTCTGATGGAAACCATTTTGTAGGACCCTACTGGGAGAACGACATGTATGACCACTTCTGTATGAAACATGATACTAAAGTGACAGAATATGACTGGACCTGGCCCGATGGGGAATATTGCGTTTACCAGGCTGGCACAACATGTCCCTCTAGTAAAGTATAATCTTAGTCTGGTTTAATTTTATTAGAAATATTCAAAGAAACGTTAATGGTGCAGATGACATCAGTTGTTTTTATTACGGTGTATTAATGATTTCATTTAATTTGACATATATTCGTAAATCATGGCAAATAGGGCTACAATCACATCGAAACTAAAAAAAAGTATAGAAGCAAAACTCTGACCGTGATCAAATACTCCACAGCTCTTTAATTCAAGACACACGCGAAAGGGAAAGCATACTATTTCCGGAATAGGCAATTAATAATATTATATAATTTAAACTTTTTTTTATATAGGGCAATTTTATTATGATCAATGGAAAAATATAATTAATTCTTAATCGTAACATTGTTTAAATATATAATTCTTTTCTGGCAGACCTGAAGTCGGGTGCAATCTTCTGGGATAACAAAAATAGTGGCGACAACAGCTACGGAGGAAGTGTTCCGGAGGGCACATATGACCACAACACCAAGATGTACTTCTGCTGTCAAAATGATGGATTCACCACAAACCAAATATACCTTCCCACTGACAGTCCTTTCTATCTGTTCCCATTTAAAAATCAGTGTCAACAGGTCGTTGGTATGACTGCGAGTATGGAATGGTTCTATTTTGACAATGAAAACACCAGCAATGATGATTATAAAATTGGTTACTATCCATATTCTGATGGGGACAAAGCTCATAAAATTCGCTATTGCTACTACACTCCTAAGTAATTAGAAATGGAGCCTAAGCTGCGACAATTAAAATATTTTGGTTAGATTCATCGATAAATTTCCCGTCGATTTATAATCGAATTATGAAACGTGATAGGCTCTGAACCTTGACCTCTGATGATCAGTGCACAAAAGTTATTACAAAAAAAGTGAATACAATAATACCATAATATTTTCGGAAAATATTTGAGCCCCACCAATTAGTTTCTTTCCTATTCTTTATCCTTCCTGTTCTTATTATTATATTGGCTGGTCCCGGCCACCACTAGATAGGCTTCTTCACAAAGGCTTTTATGATGGATGTCTTGATGTGGCGCAAGAGTTTTTCCCTCCCTCGTGCGTCCAGATTAAACTGACGGGAAATTTAGCGATAACATAGTATAGTCTATCTTACAATGAATCTATTACTTATTTCAATGAATCTTAAATAAAACAAGCAACACAAAAAAAAAGTGTACAGTGTCTTTTTTTTTAGGCCTGTTATTGTTTATATGTAATTTCCATCAACGTGATTGGTGTTCAAGAATAGATAAAATAATCTTATCTTCCTAATGTAAATGGCTCTTGAACTTAACTATTAAACCTATCAAGTTATAATGTTGAAAATATATTCGAAACTTTAGATAAAATGTAATGTATTAAATTCAATTCACGTTAAATAATTGTTTTTACTTGATTGCTAATCGGTCTCCTTTTCATGTGGTGATCTAATTAAACAATATCCGTTAACAAAATATACTATAAAATATTTAAAAAAAAACAGTACAAAAGAGTATTAAAGAAATTAAATAAATATATTGAACTTTAAAATTATATCGAAAGTGCAAAGACATTAAAGGGACCAGAATGATATAAAAAATAAATAAAAAAGCACAATTCTAAAAATTAAAACACAACCATCAATTAAAACTAAGGTGTTAGAATGATTTCGATCCCTGATGAAGAGTGGTGGTCCATCTTGAAGTACAACCTTGTATAGCCAAAAGCTCTGCATGGCTGGCCCCAAAAACCCAAAATGTATGTATTCATAACTTGTGTCTTTGTAGGACATCGGTGTATTCCTAGTTACCTATTTAGTCGTTCACTATATTGTGAATAACAGTCTTGAACAATGAAGAGGTTAAATACATAAGTATATGAGAATAGAGAATTTACTTCAGAGTACGCAAACATGTCACTTAGTGAAACTTTTACATCATTTTCTTAAGTTTAATTATCGTCTGCATAATACAAGCAATTTAAAAATCGAAACACTGTCATAAAAGCCATATGAGTATTAAAAATGGAGCAGATCGCCCAAAACAACTACTCTTTTAGACTCTAGACTCTTGACAACATTGAGCATCATGCATTCAGTTGAAAAGGCAAGTCGAATGACCAAGCGGTTAAGGCAGGGGCACCGCAACCTACAACCATGGAATACGCGCGGCGCTTGTTCGAACGACACGCTCGCCTAATGGTTCTGGAGGTGGAACAAGTCTTCTCGGATAAAGGACTATAAACAGTAGGGAAAGTGTACACAATTGGCTCATGTGCACTATAAAGAACAGAGTACATCTTTTGAGACCAGTAAGGGGTTACCCCGGTGTTTACCGACCAGCTCAGACATGAAGAGACCTCACGGAAGAAGAAAGTGACAAACAATTAAATAATTAAATAAATATTGAAAATCCAAAAAATTAGTTATTCATAGGCTTATAATTATTTATTTATTCGTTTACGCATTCTCAGGTTGGTCTTTTCTTGTCTGCTCTGAACTCTTTCCTTTTTTTATCCTCTCTTTATTTTCAATGGGACCCCTCAGTAACAAACCTTCGGGCTTAGAGGGTTATCCATTGCTCTCCTTTCCCCTTGCATTTTCTTTTCTCTTGGTTTCCTTTTGATGTTCTGTCCTCTGGTCCTTGTAAACCTGTTCTTTTCCCTTTTTCTTGTCTGTTTTTCCTTTTTGGATTCCGTTACATTTTTATGTAATGTGTTGTCTGCTTGTAAACGTATTTTGTTTCTGACTTCTTTGATTTTTATTTTTTAGCCTGTTATTTCTTTTTTTTTTTAATTTCATTTTTTTAAAAAAAGTTTTTGATGTTTTCCTTGTGCGCTTTACTTTTTTCCTTTTAATTGATTATGATGTATAATGTAATTTGTTTTGTTTTTTTTGTTTGGTGATGTGTAATTTCTTTTATAATTGGTTAGTCATTTGATTCATTTTTGAAAAGAGCAAGAAATAAAAACAAACAACAAAATGTTGCTGTATCAAATCGTGTTGCTTTCATAATTATATACAATAATAAATAGCCTGTAACACTATAATTATATAAAATATACTGTACAATAAGTAAACACCCTGCGATAATCAATCAACTTTACTACCTCGTCTATCTAACGTAGATGCATTTAGTTGTGTTTGAAAGATATTGCTTTTTGCACCAATAGCATTCCATAATTTTCTGAGTTCAGCGCAATGCAAATTTAACAACATAAAAAGTTTCTCGATATAAACAGACGCTTAAATTTATAGAGACTTGTGGCGAGGCTAATAATTCATCCGTATTATTGTGGCAAGTCTAAAAATTCTGTAGGATAAATCAACTATGGAAGGCGCTATATAAATACAAAACCATTACTATTACTCTTAAATCTAATCCAATTCTTTTCAATTACCAAATGTATTTCGTTCCTCTTAATAACATCAAGTGCCGCAAAGACTTTAGAATCTTTGTGGATTCCAAACTTACATTTTCTAAACATATTGACTATAATGTTAGAAAAAGTATTATGTCTCCGCCTAATGTGCTGTTATAGTGGTTCGGATAACGGTAGAATGACAGACTGTACACAACTGTTCTAGGTTGACACAATGGTAGTTTATTATTGCAGATGAGATTAACACTTTATCATGTGAGCGTATTTGCTCAAGCCAGTATATCAATTCAGTAGATGAGTGATATTGAAATGAGTTCACGTAGGATAGTAGCGTACTGTACTGCGTAATGCGGTGCGTGGCGTCGGTTACACTATCTATACTGTAGTAGCTAAGTGGTGGTGTATGGTGTGTGTGTGTTCATTTATCACTGTAATAAACCAGAAACAATAAAATAGTAATAAACAATATAACATAGTAATAAAAGGCATAATAAATAGGCCTAGCATATGAATCTTTAACTTAATAGCATATGAAATAGTAACAGTAAGTACTCTCCTGAGCAATAGTCGTCTCAGGTAGGCCTAATAAACAAGTACCGTATGAGGCACGTGACCTAAACTTGTCAAACGAGGGAACCCCTCGCTGTACGAATCAGCGTGAACGGCAGCCTGAACAACGTCAGTTGGCCTAGGTAATTGGTCTAAACTTTAAAGCCTATTAACACTTAATTAGACAAAATATGTTCACAACAGTAAAGGTTATGCAAGTTAAGATATATTACTAAAACAAACAATACGGTTCATAATAATTACAACATACCAAAACACTGCTAATTATGGTTTTATATAGAAGTTGGAACGCTGGATCACCTCATTTTACAGACAAGTTGCGAACAAGTTCGCTAACGCGCGTGCGCTGCCCGTTGCAGCGCAACGAACGATGAGGGCTCAGTCACTAAATAGATACTTTGTAACAATAATATTATAAGAATTTTTGGTTTTTAGCTATATATTGTATTTGGAATTTGGACATACTGAAGATGTAATGATTTGAGTTGATTTAACAAAGGGCAGTAGAATTTGTTAATCTACAATAGCCCAAATTTCTATCCTCTATTCCGAGGCAATGTGGTTTTAGTGGCTTGCGTGATAGCACTAAACGTATCTGTCATTGAATGAACCTTTCCAGAGCGTCAATAAAACTAAATTATTTATTTTATTTTATGAAAACATACGCGAACTACTTGTTAACATATGGGATAACTAACCAATCAGAACAGTGCCATGAATACGTGCATGTCGAACAAGCACACGTGTTGTTCCACAAACGCACGTGCTCACGTATGTTTTAATGCCATGTTTAGACTACCATATTTTATTTGAAAAGACATGCGATATGCTTAACACATTATGACCATATATAGGCATATCATTACTATATATGGGCATACAATCAGGGCCGTCGGAACCGCACCGGCTTTGGCCGGACCACTTTTTATCAATTTTATTACTTTTTAAAAATAACTGATACCTATAAATTATACGAATTAGGTTAATTATTAATGTCTTTTTAATGTTATTAAATTTAAACAAAAATCCACCATGCACTTGTTTTTGTATTGTCTATGTACACTTTAACTTTTAACTTTTTTTGACTGCCAATCCTTAAATTTAGTAATTAGCCTGAGATTGATTTTGAAAATGTTTAAAATAAATATGAAAAAACTATTTATAAAATTTTGGGGGTTGGAGTCAGGCAAATTGTCGTCACCACACGAAAGTATATTCGTCAAGCCGTCTAATTACTTGCAATCAAAATTTATACCCCTGAAGTGGGCCATTCATTTTTTAAGTATGCATGTGGCCGATGCGATTCCGACGTAATTGGTATAAGGCCTAACGTAAGCAAACAAAGCACTTAATGAAAAAAAAAAAAACAATTCAAGAACTCATCTGCAGCGTGATAATAATCCTCTTTAGCATTATGTACAATGGATATTTAGGCCTGTAATATATCTCTTTTGTGAATATACTGTAGGTCTAATGTTTTCTTGCATAGTTGCTAACTTGAGAGGGGGCGAGTAATTTCAGGGCGTGCCCCCTCCCCAGGAGCCCTATAGATACGCCACTGTCCAGGACGACCTGAGCATCTTTAAGCTGTTCTAAAACGATTTCAAGGAGTGTTTGTTTTTAATAGAGCCACGTACAATTTGAGTTTTAATGTACATTACGTTTAATTTGAGCACCCAAACTATAATGTACACAAACATTTCATTACTTAAACAAATAAAAAATGCATAGGCCTAGGCATACTGATCGAACTTCAGTAACGCGTCAGTGAATTAAGTATTCACGTAAATACTTTTAATGACTCAAGTTACTGCATGACCGTTTTTATATTTTTAATAAAACCAATTCCTGTTTTCTGCAAAATGCGTGTTTCAACCAAAATCACTTTGAAAGGCGGGACAGTCCCGCACGATGCGAAACTGTTGGTAACTATGTCTCGAGTCATACCGTACTATCTCCATGCTATCCTGTGGCTGTCTCCTAAGAGAGAATGGTACTGGCTATTCAGGCTGTCAGAATCTATTTCCGGATATTTAAAAGTTGTAAACTTCATGGAGAGGGCAGGGGTGGATATGCTCTCATACCCCACTAACTTTATATCATGTATCCGTGGAATGGGGTGGTAATTTCGAAAACAAATGTTTTAAGCACCCCACCCCCCGTCCCAAAACGGCCGGACCACTTTCAAAATGCTTCCGACGGCTATGTACAACAGTCTTTTTGTCAAATAGTCCGGACAAAGCTTAGCACTGTCGCTTTTTGATACCTTAGGATCAATGTCCGAGGGACAGAGCTTAGCGGAAAGGTCCATTATCTCAAAAGTCATCCAGCTGTTAAGCATCAATCCTACTTGCTACGTTAATAATTATCTTTAAAATATCGTTCAAATTATATAATTGTATATAACTGATTGACTTTATCATTAGCATTTAGCATTATAAAAACTCATTAATAGTTATGCAATAACACTTTGAGAAACATCTGAATTAATGGGAAATTCAAGAAACAAAAATTTACAAGCATTGGCGTCAGCTCAGTTAGGTCATCAATTTAATTAGGATTAGAGAAAATAGGACTATCCATTTGACTTTTACATTGAAAGTTTTAATTATACTATGGAGGTAAATATTATGCTGATTGAATTTTGAGATATTAAAGTATATTTGATTATCATTAACGTTAATTAATGTATTATGAGGGAGTTTTCGATTGGTGCGACGACGCGACGCTAGAACGGAATCACTCATTCGTGACCGTCCTACCTAGCGTCCTACGTTTTCTCTTCTCTGCATACGTAGATTTGGCCAAATTGCGTTCCGGAAATCTACTCGACGAGGTGACCTTAACTTTCGTGCATGCGCAGATGACTTCTAGTGACGTCATTACGTTCTCTACGTCCTACCGTCGTCGTGCAATCGAAAGCTTCCTATTTAAATACATTAAAACCCAAAGGAACAGAAGTGCTCTCTCAATATGGGTGCGTTCTAAAGACGGATGTCCTTATTTTGGGAACACTAATTGAAAAAATTAGACTGTTCCCCCATATTATTGATTAGGCCTACCGGTATATTTAGATAATTATAGTCCATGTAGGATGCAACATGGAAAGCCGCTGTGATGGTGCTTTCACTCTAGCAATCCTAAAGTTATATTGCAGTCTAATTACAATGTTGTATAAATGTTGGAAATTAAATTAAAATAAAATAGAAAATAAATTGAAAATGGTGACTAAAAACAATTCATCAAATCAAACTTGGTCAACATATAAACCAACTTCAAAAATTGTGAAGACGTTATGCTTATTATACTGATATCGATTTTTATACTGATATCGATTTTAAGTGTTCCCGTTCCCTTTGGGATTTATCATGTAAACTGAAGAAGTACTTGTACTTGTATTTTTATGATTCAATCAATACCATAATCATTATCATTATCATTATTTATTATTTATTATTATTTATAATAATTATTATTATTATTATTATTATTAGGGGCCTATTATTATTATGTAGATAAACGATATTATTTCCCGTCATTTTCTCCTCAATAGGGATGTGCCACAGAAGGGTTTCTACTGTATATCGTAAAATGTTCAATTCATGCTTTCTGGCATTTACAATATTATATAATATTGTTTCCTAAGGTTACACGAATCCTTGCATTAATTTCATTTTTACACCAGTAAAAACATAATTTACATGGGCTAACATTAACAAAATTATCATTATGTTTTCACCAACTATTAAAAGAGTTGAAACGGATTACTTAGGCGGCAGCCATGACAGAGTTTAACATATTGTTCTTAATCACAGGGATTGTAAAATGAGTGATTTTCTTGTGAGGAAACCAAAGTTAAGGTAATGTCCAAGTTATGAATGTTCCTGCTTCTTTTATTATGTTTATATTTAAATACCTTTACAAATAGGCAACAAATTGTAAGAATCGGTCAAAGCATATCAGATGTTCTTATCTAAAATAATTGCAAGGGACAGTTCTTGCACAATATTATTTACGTTATATACGGCGGATTTTAGAACTAATCCTGACTGATAATAAAGTACGCAGATGATACGGCTATCATTAGTTAATAAAAAAAAAACAATATTATATTGAAATTCTATATCTCAGAGATTCCGCGTTTTGTATCATACTGTGACAATAATTATCTGGAGCTAAATACAGACGAAGGAAATAGTAATCGATTTCAGGAAAAAAAAATACTAAAAATAACTATTACTATTAACAACTCATGCACTGAACAGGTAGAACATTTAAATGTTTGGGGATTATTTTTGGTGGTAAAATATTGGAGGGAGACTGGGAAATGCTTCAAAAGTTTATTCATAAATTTGAGAGGTACACTCTGCCTACTATGAATACTGACGATCAAGTTTGAAGAGATGTGGAATGGCGACTGTCATCCCTTCTATCCGCCGATGATCGGCATTATAGAACGAACTAATCTTTTATCCCTAGAGGAATTAACTTGTAACTTTTCGAGGTAGCCATAAGAGCAATGTAATTTCCATGTATGTGGATCAATTAATGACTATATCATGTCTATGTCTAATGGTTTAACAAACTTTACCAAAGTGTATCATTAAATATGCTGCCAACGAAAAATCGGTTTGTTATGAACTTGAGCCGGGCACTCCCTGCGCCCGACGGCCGTCGGCAGAAGCTATTCTGTGAAAAACACAACGCCACAACGAGCGCGCAAATGATCGTTTTTAAAGTCAATCAAACTGCCGTCGGCAATCAGAGACGGCGTAACGTCGTCGAACGCTTACAGGGGGCGGAGTTATAGATTCGTCGCCCGAAGGTCGTACAATCTTCGTACGACGCAGTGAGTGCTCTGCTTTATAGGCCCTAAGTTGAATTCATATTTTGTGGTAAGCATCAGGCAAGATTGTTTTCAACATTATTGAGGGAAACTGACCTTCTGTTTTGGTTCGTAGGCTAGTAATACCTATTTCATCAGATAAAGAAATAAATAACGCTACGTACGGTATATTCCGTGACAAACTCATATAATTAAATTCGACGTTGATGCATTTATCAAAGATAGGCTAGGCCTATATTACGTGCGCACACTAATGTCCTGAAATAGATTCAATGAAAATGAACAACAAAAGATTATAATCATGCCATCGCGACACGCGATAAACCGTTGTCGGCATTTTCAATATGTTTAATGAAGATAGCATCTGATTCTGAAACAATATATACACTATCTTGTTTAATTCTTTCAGATGATATTAAGTATGATATTAATAAAATAGACATTCATGAGAAATGTAACAGATGCCTTTTCTAATTAATGTATTATCATGATTGATAACGCCTTAAAACTCTACAATTATACTTTGCATCATAGTTCGCTGGAACAATCGACAGGTAAGATACGTTATATTTATGATATATATAGATATATATATATATATATATATGTATATATAATATATATATATAATATATAATATTAGGCCTATAGATATATTATATATATAATATTAAATTAGGTGTGAATACCCTATATTAAGAAGTTAAAAAAAAATAATGTGGTGGAGAAAAACGTATTGTCCCATCGTTAATCCGCCAAAAATGTCCATTTACCATGATCTGAGATCAAAGCTAGTGGCGTAACACCTATGGATTCTATGTGCCAAAGGTTAGAGACCCAGGGCCACAAATCGGATGAGGTGGCCGCTTAATGAGCATAACTGTCTAATTACGCCGCCCTTACAGGAACGAATGGGAAATGCACCTACTGGGCAGCAATGGTGCCGCCAGAAGGGGACTTGGGAGGCAGGTCCCCTTCCGTCGGGGAGAGCTGCCCCACCCCCATTCGTCGGGGAGAAAAACCACAATTCGTCGGGGGAAAAATATATGTATTTTCTATATCTTAGTAGACTCTAATCAATTAAATAAGCCTTTGAAACTCCTAAATTGTCTTATATTTTTCGGGGCTTCTCCCCTGGATCACTTTTCAAACATTCTGACCGACGACTGACCACGCTAACTTTGCTCTCGAACCCACACCCACCCCACAACGTTGGGCAAATCCTGGCGCCACTCCTGCTGGGTAGTAGGCCCAAAGAAGCCTATAGCTATAAACCTCGTTGACTCTGACTGAAGCTGGTGTACTCCCTTGTATTTTCTCGGTCGAACGACAGGCCTACCACTCTAAAAATTTGGGCTTTGATTTCGATTTATGTGGTATCTTATGTTTTTCTCCCCCATATTCAAGTATAAATGGGCTGGTAGAATGTTAACGTTCCATTAAATTTCGTTTGTTTATGTAAATTCTCAAATATCTTTAGAGAGTGCGGTAGAAAGCCCTAAATCCAAAAGAGATACATAAATAGGCCTATATCATGATTGTTGATGAATAAAGCCTAAAGCCGGGCGCTCACTGCGCACGACGGTCGTCTGCCGAAGCGATACTATAAAGAACGCAACGCGGCGACGCGCGCGCAGCGGATTGTTTTTATCGACGAACAGTTCAGACTGCCACCGACAATCAGCAGACGGCGCCGTGTCGCTCACAGAGAGCGGAATTGGATTCATCGTGCGACGGTCGTACGACGCAGTGAGATACCCTGCTTAAAGCCTGTTTTCCACTAGGGCAATTTATTCGCGCGAATCTAATATTCGGTACCGTACGCTTTCTGAGCTCTGAGTGGTTGCGCATTTTTTTGCTTCGCAAAAACCCTATAAAAATGTAAGTGCGCATGAGTATGAACCGACGCTTTCGATTCGCGCGAATAAATTCGCCTAGTGGAAAACAGACTTAAGTGTGGTATGAGGAAAGGTTTTCTGACGTTTGTTTGAACTAAATACATAATTGTGTAACTCTTAGATTCGTAAAATTTATGTAGGACTATTGTTAATTCCATGTTTGTATATTTTTATGCAATCTGAAGAGCTGTGTAGATTAAGTTTGAGTATGTTTGTATTGTAATCCGTTACATATTCCAGGGGCTGCGGACACCACTTTTGGTGTTTAATGTTGCCAAAGCAGCCCCTGGATCGTTTTATTTTTATATTATTTCAAATAAATGAAATTAAATAACCTACTAGTACGAACATGATGTCGACTCTGGCAATTCGCTTTATCTCGATGTGCCTGGTGCTAACGGCAGCTACATCACTGCCAACTCTACCCGCAGTTGACTACATTGGTATTGGTTACAACGTTCTCGACGGCAACCCAGATGGGGATGGCAGCACGACTGGCTGTGTTGATCCTGGTCTATTAACTTTAAAACGAGTTTTTGCTTACACCTACGATGAAGGAAAGGTGTCTAGTGATCTAAAGTACATAGTGCCAGACCAGGTATGCAACTATTTTGTTTCTTGTGCACGTCAAATAAAGACGTAGTTGCAGACCAAGACAAGAAGCGGCTATACATGATCTAAGTCTTTGTTTTTCATTTTTCTTGAATGTTCATTGCTTTTGTTATATCTGTTATTTTTAAGGGCTTTCTTGCTGCAAGCTTCAGAGCTTTTAAGGCATTGTCCCCATTGTTTTTGTCAAAAAATGTTTAAATTATTTATGAAAATGGAAATGGAAATAAATGTTAATTGAACTGAATTGAATTGAAGTATTATGTATATCATTAATATATTTTCAACAATTAAATAAAACATTTAATTTCTTATTAACATCAAATAAGTTACCCAAACGTCCAATAAGTCATAGGTCTAGATCATTCAACAGAAGTTTAGTTTTTGATGAGTTTTTACTAAGTAAAATTCACAGATTCATACATTACCAAGCAACAAAAAGATTGTAACGCAACGCCGCCATATTATTGTTCGAAGTTTTGGTTCATTAAAAAGTAAACATGAAAATGATAAAAATTAAGTTCAAGAGGCTAAGCAATGCACTCATTGAATACCACAACCCAAAATTGTAGTACAGGCACACCAAATTATTTCAAAAACTTGACAATTAATATTCAGATTAAATAAATGTCGAATATCATTACAGATAGTGTATACACCTCGTTCAAGCTGCGCACGCACCTTGGAACAAAACATGTTTTGGGGTACAAAAAGTTACCAGCAAAAGCTCAAAAGTGACACAACATGGTCAGGTAAATTTTAACTTAATTCTTAATATTTCAATTATAATTCACTGTATGTAAAATATAACGTTGCTTGAAACTGGTTTCTAGTTAAATATATTGTTCAAGTATCTGGTGTGTATCTGTATAATCATTCGATCGATTACCTGACTGGCTAACTGACAGACTAGCCGAACGACAGACCGACAGTAACAAACAAACTACCCGTTGGCAAAGATCTTTATCTGTGTTATATACAATGTTTAAATATCTGTGTATAAAGCATGGCGTTCGTTAAATTGGTTTTCTAACTGACAGACAGAAATTAATGGTTGGTAAGGAAAATCAATCGTTTGAAACGCTTTACACTCTCAATAATAAATATATTGTATTTTGAATTACCTTACATTCTTATATTCTTCTTTAGTGTCGGCAGCAGATAAATTTCTTGGCTACGAGTTTTCAAAAAGTAACTGTAAGTAATTTTATCAAACATTTTCAAATATATTAATTATCCATGTAATATAAAGAAGTATAGAGGAATACCGGTCAATAATAATCACTTATGCTTTTACTTTAGCCTATGAGGAAATGTATGCTTCGATTAATGCATACAAATATGTGTATTACGAAGATCGTACCGTCTGTAATCTTGGCCGCGCAAGATATGCAAATGAACTGTACGTGTACGATAAGTACTCTCTCAGCAAAGACTTTATTCAAGCTGCCTGCAAGCTACCAGTTAATTATGATAGCAAAATATTTATGCAGTTTCTCGATACATGGGGAACGGTAATGTTGAAATCTGATTACATTAGTATTAAGTAGTTTAAGAATGGTTCCAAATACTATTGCATTAAGAAAAGACTGAGCTGATAATAAACATTGCCATTTAATAATAGGCCTATACAATCTTTGTTTCATTTTCAATACATTGAATTATTATATTAATGTTTGTAATATTATGGCAAATAAAATGGTTTTGGTTACATCAGTTGGAAGAACCTTGTAACGGTACTTATATTCGGTGCTTTCAAGGTCACTTTTTTATTTCTCGTTCTCATATAAGTATTTTTATATTTTGGAAATTAATTTTAAACTTATGAGAAAACATATGAAATATATGCTTTTATTTACTTTATGGAGAATAAAATAATCTTAATTTGTACAATTTAACCTATTTAATAAGCCATGTCTCATGGCAATACTTTTTTATCATACAATACTATTTTCTCGTATAATACCTAGTTAAACTAAGCCAAAGTTCTTTCAATAATTCCTGTTGTAACACAAACACACTAATCCCTCCGTCAAAAATGTCTAATTTCAAAAGGGCATTAACTTAATTCAAATCGAAGGAATTGAAAAATGCTTGACGCGTGCGACTTTAACATGACCACGTATGACTAGCACTCTTAAATTAGCATCTTATTATTAAAAATACAAAGAACTACAATTTTTGACCTCCATAGCACGTTATTTTGCAAGCTGAGTTGGGAACGAAAAGTATTGATCGGTATGAAGAGACACAAGAAGCGTTTGTGTACTTTGTTTTGGATGAGGTAATGTCATTCTGTTATTTCATAAAACGACTAACACCAACTAAATGACTTACTCTTACTGACGGACTTACTGACTGGCAGTCTGAGTGCCTGACTTGCTTGCTTGCTTAACTGTTTACTTGACTGACTAACTTACTGACTGACTCAATTACTCCCTTAGTTACTTACCAACTGACGTGCTGACTTAGGCTACTGTCTAACTGATTGACTGATGAGTGCCTGACTTACTGGCTTATTTACTTTCTGACTGATTTACTGACGGATTGACTTAATTACTACCTTGGTTACTTAAAAAATGACTTACTGAGTAACTGACTGACTAGACGACCGACCGACTGTCACTCTGATCACTAAGCAATAATATAGTAATTTAGTCTGAATAATATACATTGAATCTAGGTGCATTTGTGAGGATTTCATAAAATATATTTCAATTTTTTAACCATTCTAGGATTCAGGTAAAATTGTAAGTGGTGGAAGTTACGAAGGATTTGATAGTTCCGTAAGTGTTGATATGGAAGAATTTGAGAAAGACTTGACACCCGACACCTCGTTTGGACAATATGAAATCACGATCAGTAGTGACAACGAGTCTCCAATTGCCATCGAAGCAATTGGGATGGATGAGATGTTTGTTCATGAGTATTGGCAATTATTCAACGACTATGTTGCTGATGGTCTGTGTTCTTCTGATTGGCTAAATAATCTTGTAACATTTAGAAGTAACATGGGAACAGCAATGTCGGGCTATGCAAATTGGCGCGGAGCTGCAATCTCTGAAGGTAGGCAACATAATATTACAAGTTGGCTCAAATAACACAACACAAAATACAACGCAACACAGCGTAACGCCATAAAAGAGAAAATAAAAGAAATAAAATTATGAACACGCATGCACATATCTGTTTTTATTGCATGTGTAAGTAAGTATTTGTTAAAATTATTTATTATACATGAATGTTAGAGAAATTTAATTAAAACAAAGATTACATTTGATAAGATAGACAAACATATATTCCTACAAATTAGTTTAGTTACAGGCGTTCTAAGAAAATTATTAGGTGTAAATTATTTAAGGGTCCCCTAGGGCCTAAGCCAAACATGTGCCTCACTGCTTTACCGTAACTGTTGAGACCGAAATCAGCTGCTACTCCATTTATTCCTTACATTATCAGCTGTTATTTTTAATGTTTCTTTTCGGTCTGCATTTGTCTTGTTCTAATTCTCAATTAAAACTTGATAAATTACAATACTGATTAAATATCTCATCTTGATAGATCCTGTTGTTAAAATCCCAATCACATGGCCAAAGGGAGCCTATGGTCTGCCTCAGCCGAAATCAGGATGTCCACTGACACCGCAGTTCAACTGGTACATTGGTGTGAGGAAGCATGATACCGAGAATGGCAACTCGTGGTCAGCCGACAACCATTTCGCTGGACCTTACTGGCAGAATGATATGTATGATAATTTCTGCATAAAGACAGACCAAGTGGTAACAGAATACGACTGGAATTGGCCGCCTGGTGAATATTGCATATATCAAAGGGATACGGCTTGTCCTAGTGGTATGTCACAATTCTAGCATATGGAACAAATTGGCATTCTCGCGTTTTTTATGCGTTACATTAACCTTCGTATATAACAATTTAATTTCCTAAGTTTAGTGTTCAATCGGGGATAGGAAGAATGACGTACAATGATGTCATCAATGTTGATCTAATTTAATTTGGTATAATAATAATACAAACGTTAAATCGGTGTAATGTTGATACAACCGTTAAATAAAATGTTGATACAAACGTTAAATCGGCATATGTTGATACAAATAATGTTGATACAAAAGTTAAATCGGCATAATGTTGATACAAATAGTGTTAATACAAAAGTTAAATCGACAGCACATAATATGCTGATACGAACGTTAAATCGGTTTATTGTTGATACAAACCTTAAATCAGTACCATGATGGTACAACAGTTAAATCGGTATAATGTTGATACAAATGTTAAATCGGTATAATTTTAACACAAAAGTTAAATCGGTATAATGTTAATACAAATGTTAAATCAGTATTAAACAAACGTTAAATCGGGATAATGTTGATACAAAAGTTAAATCGGTACAATATTGATACAAGCGTAAATCTGTATAATTTTGATACAAACGTTCAATCGGTATAATCTTGATACGCAAAAGTTCAATCGGTATAATGTTGATACAAACGTTCAATCGGTATAATGTTGATACAAACGTTACATCGGTATATGTTGATACAAGCGTTAGATCGGTATAATGTTGACACAAACGTTAAATCGGCATAATGTTGATACAAATGTTAAATCGGTATAATTTTAATACAAACGTTAAATCGGTATAATGTTGATACATACGTTACATCGGTATCGGGGATCGGAAGAATGACGTACAATGATGTCATCAAGGTTGATCTAATTTAAATTGGTATAATATTGATACAAACGTTAAATCGATGTAATGTTGATACAAACGTTAAATAAAATGTTAATACAAACGTTAAATCGGCATAATGTTGATACAAATAATGTTAATACAAAAGTTAAACCGGTATATTGTTGATACAAACGTTAAATCGGTATAATGTTGATAAAAGCGTTTAATTGGTAGAATGTTGATACAAACGTTAAATCGGTATAATGTTGATACAAACATTAAATCGGTATAACGAAGATACAAACGTTAAATCGGTATAATGTTGACGCAATCATTTTGTTAGGTCAGGTTACAGTTATTTGCATCTATATACCGGTAGTCATTAGTTACACAGTATTAATTGAATAAATTTTATTACTAATTTTAGCCCATGGCCCTATGCCTACAATTATAAAAATTTTAATTTTTTTAAAATGCAGGGTTTAAAACTGGTTACATTTTTTGGGACGACAAGAATTCCGATGGAAACACTCACGCAGGATATTTACCGAAAGGTACATACAACGAAAATACCAAAATTTACTTCTGCTGTCGTGACGATGGATTCGCCACCAATCCTATCTACCTACCGACGGAGAGTCCGTTCTACCTGTTTCCACAGAGTCACAGGTGTCAAGAAGTGAACGGCATGAAACACCAAACCGAATACTTTCAATTCGATGATGAAAACACAAGTAATGACAACCAAAAATGGGGATCGTATCCATATACCGGTGGCGATTACAAAAATCATCTTCTGTATTATTGTTATTACACTCCGACTTAATTCAGGCGAACAGATGACCAATCAACTAAAGAATATCTAATTAACTTATAAAAAACATCATTTAGTTTCATTTAGTAATCAAATAACGCGAGTTAAACAAAAATATTGTTTTTGAAAGTTATTTAAGTTGACACCATGGATCGACGATTATAATGTTATATCAATTTTAGAAATTATATACAAAAATCCCAGAACTTATTGTGTGTATGTTTGCTTTATATAATTGTTACAATAGTATTATGTGATAAATGCAGAGGTCAAACGCACAGAGGTCATGGCAATCATTTGAAGTTGCCGCACTAAAATCGAATCAGCTTCCACAGTCTGTTCGGTCTGCAAACGGCATCACTTCATTTAAACAAGTACTGAAAACTCTTGATGGTTATTGCTTTCAAGTAGATTCACTACTGGCTCATTTTATTAGTCGCAATTTTGAATGACAGCAAACACCAGCATCATTACAGCCCTCATTGAGGGCTTGAAATGCTGGTAAACGAAAGGTGATGCTTTCTTTTGCTTTTTAACTGGTTTTAGTCTAGGATAATTCATGGGCTAATTTCCTCGCCTTTCTAGTTCCAGATATTTCATGTTCTGTCTCTGGCACCTTGAAAACGTCTTTATTGGATATGTGCGCTACATAAGTTGTACTTATTATTATTATTAACGCAAAGTAATTGGCAAATGGGGAAAAATCATTGGCCACTAACCAATCACACGATGTACATCATTTTTTCACTGTTCTGCCTAATATTTTTTATTGTTTAGTTTATTGTCTTTTATTTCGGTTGTTTTGTGTCAATAGAATTTTTTTTGTTACTGTAAAGCACTATGAAACGAAACAAAAGTTAAATAATAATATATTATATTGTTTTATTCAATATATTTGCTGTATAAAACAGAACCTTACGTAACAATTACAAAGCTTTGAAGGACTATAAGAATATTTAATGTATCTGTACGTCTTTTATTACTCAAATGTACACAACAAAATAGATTTCGATATAATCAACTATATTTTCTAAAAAGACACAACATAGATGAATACGACGTTAACAATAAACTACAACATGACCACTATCAAATTCTCAATGAATATTATTAACATCCTAAACAAGTAATAACATTTTCGATTTGCTATTGTTTGAATGACGTTGTCATTGGACAGACGTTTTACACATAATAAAAATTACGGTACCAGTAGTAAAATTCTAATTTTCTTAAGTCTTAAGGCAACACAATAGAATTACATATTGTTCTATATAAAAATCTATACATGCCATTATAAATATATGTATTTTAAAAACATGTATAACAGCATATTAGTTAGCACCAACTAATTTTGAAAATAAAGTTCTCAAGAATTAAATCTTACTCCAGAAGGTGCTTAACTTAATTTAAACTTTAAATGTAATAAAGAATTTAAAAAAAAATTAAAAAAACGGTGGGGTTTGCAATTGGTGTTACTCTTAACTGTCTTAAATTATGTCATTTATACCAATTCAATTACATACGGGAAATACCCTAAAACAGCAAGCGAAATAAATGCAAAGAATAATACAAAACAGATGAGGAAACTGAGAAAGAAAGAATACAAACTAATTCTCCACCGGGACCCGAATCCAAGAGTTTTCGAATACATTGCCAGCGGCATAATCACTTGAGCACGAAAGCGCTGTGGTGTTCTAAGCGCCAGTAGTAGTAGTAGTAGTAGAGTTCCTTTCAACATGTCTGACGTCACACTTTTGATATACCGCTAAAATCGCATTGTCTAGACTGCCAGAAAATCTATAAATTACACACTCTTCTGTACATTAATTTAAAGCTTGCTGGATCTCGAATGAGATACTTGTGTATATAATATGATTTTAGGCAGATAGGAAAACCAAAGAACAGCAAGTGGAATAATAAATGTTCACTTTACAATAATTCCTTAAAGCATAATTGCACTGTTATTTGAACTTGCGTTACTAAGTACAGTACATTATATACATGTATATATCGGTATTTTAAACCCCAAGAAACACTTTTCAGCAACTTTATATGTGGAATTAAAAAAAAAACAACTTGGGAGGCCTGAAAAACGGTGGAATTTCTTTTGGTGAAATATATAAAATATATACAAAATTTGATCGAAACAAGTAAACATTTCTGAAGTTGGTGGATAACTATTATCGTTAACAATTAAAATACTGTAGATTGTAAAAAGTGGTATTTAATTTCCTATTCCTTCAAATTTGACAAAAAATATATTTTATTGTAGATTGATTTTTCTTGTTTAAATACACTGGTGGCTAAATAGGTCTCATATTCGTTTTAATCGTAATAAATATCTATTAATAAAAATGGTAACATACCTAATGCATTAAGAAAAACATTTAAACATCGTGTATAAACTGTTGTCAGAAATGGACTACTAAATGCTAAATGTTTGTAGACGGCCATTTGCATTGGAAAGGGCACTAGAATGGACTAATGGTACAAAGACTAGTATCGCTTTAACTTGGTACTCAATTTGCATTTGAAATTAAAAGCTACTCCACAGTATTCTCAATAATACTGTCTGCTACTTTCTCAGTGCTATCACAGAATCTACAAATGGACCTTTCCAGAGTCTCAATCAAACTTAACAAACTGACCAATCAGAAAAGGGCCAGGAATACGTGCATGTCTAACAAGCACACATGTTGTCCAACAAAACGCACATCTTTACGTATGTTTTGACATTGTTGTTTTGTGGGAACTTAGCAACAATATCCAAGGGGCGGGGTTTAGCGTAAAGTTCAATTGCATAGCAATACACCAAGAGAAGGACAAGTTTGATTGGATTGGATCTATTCGGTGTAAACACCAACGATAGCCCACGAACGTCTAGAAAAAGACTTATTTCCAGCAGAGTCCTTCTGGAAATGATTGGGCAGTAAACCAAGAGACAATCCCCTACTCTTTTCCGAAGAGTGTACTGCGATCTTTAATGTGCACATGGGCCATAAATGCACACAAGGCCAATGGCTTACATGTCTCATACGAAAGATGGTGCGCTATTGTAACTTGCATTTCAGCCATCCAGCTGAAACACAAGGAGAGGCAGCGATGGGAATTGAACCGGGAACCTTGAGATCTGCAAGGTTCAGTTAAGTAACTGAATATTCTAGAAAGTCTAACACCAGAATGTAACATATAATATAAAATTTTATCAATAAGATAACTTTTTGTTCTTACAATGATGAAAGCTTAAAAACAATCAACACCTTACAGTCACAATCAGTGAAGATATTATCATCATTATAATTAAAATAATACAAGCCAAAGTGTGGCAAATGTTTTAACTTGGGTAAATGCCTATTATATTCTAATAAATTTCAATAAAATTATTTTACACATGACATACTGTGCATCCATAGGATGTCTCAAGATTAGATGTTTTTTATGTTATGATTGTCAAAGTCATAGCAATAGGGTTCTTATATCTTCACAATCACTGGTGGTAGAGTTAATTGTGCTGCCAATGTGTTCAGAACATTCATATTTCTTTTGGTCTAATAAAAGAGTTTGCTAACAAATGACCGGAAATGCCGAGATATAAGGATGATATGACTATGACCTTGAAACCTGTCAAAGGTCAGAGACGGCATTTTCGGTCATTTTTTATCAAAATGTTCTATTATAGCAAATAGAAATATGCATGTTCACAACAATTTGGCAAATTCAACTCTCTACCACCTGTGGATGCGGTGATACAAGGACCTTATATCTTTGACCTTTGATCCTGACCTTTTGTCAGGAAAATGTGTTACCAAGCAAAGAATGATTCTTGGACCACCCTGAACCAATTTCTGAAGTCAAATTCTCAGCACCTCAAAGTGCATACACAACCTGGTCTGGCTCTAGGGTACTTAACTTTATATGCAAAATTATTGTAAAAATAAGAGTCTAACTTTCAACCTGTATTGTTATTGGATAGGATAATTATTGTCTGCATGAAAATCTTTCATTTTTGTATTGATAAAACATAAAATACTGATTACTAATTCTTTGAAATTCTTACATATTTAATACTCTTTTTTCTCGATGTTTCCGTTACAAGTCTGATCAGCTGTGCCGCAAGGAACTAAGAACTTGACAATAGCTGTATAGATGAGAAGGTGAATTGGCAGTAGCAAGTGTTGGTGAACCAAGGCATATAGACGGTACCATGGTCCAAAGAATGGGTCAGATGGTGCCGGACAAACCATATTATTCAGATTAACTTCAAGAACCTGTTGAGATGGCGATGCGATGAGATATATAAAAAGACATATAAAAAGATATATTGTATTAGAATATATTAAGCCAGTGATGATTATAAAACACAACAGGACTATAGTTCATTGAAGAGCTACATGGTTCTTACTTATATAGCAGTGCTGATGAAAAGTGAAAATAGAATATCATATTTTGATGCAACACGATCATAAATTTTTTCAGTAGTAGTTCCCAACCTGGGGTCCGCAAGAAATAATTTGGAAAACTGAAAAGTCAAAAGGGTCCACAATGTGCCCGTGAAAAATGTTCAGGTCAGCTAGACTTTAGGAACAATTTTAATTACTTTATTTTTTTGGTCTTACAACAGTGTGATAAGCATAAGCATCTACTGCTAATCATTAGACGTCTTCAATAATAAAAGAGCTTTGATGTTGCATTTTGTTGCAAATCACAGTATCTTCTACTATAATTACCCTATTTTTGGAATACCTTGCTTAAATTTGGGACTTTATGAAGATTTTTAACATGTCCTGAGAGGGTCAACGAATGCAAAAAGGTTGGCATCCACTGGTTTACAGTATATGTGGCAAAGACAAGTCAAACCAGTCACTTGTTGCAAATCATGTTTCAGAGCAAATGGCCAAAACATGCTAAAATGTCAAATTTAAAAAAATCTATTTTATTGCACTAAACTAACCTTTATATATCTACACACTATCCTATGCTGTTATTTTCCCCATTTTCAATGTTAAAACAACACTTTTTAAGGATTTAAAGATAGTTTCTGCATGAGAAATGCCTGAAATCATAAATTTTAAAGGCTGATTTCTCATATATTGTTCTTTAAACAGTTGTGTGGTTAAACGCTTGTAACTTCATAAGGAAAAGTCCGATTTGAATGATTTTTTTTACCATTTTATAGCTATTATTTAACTCTCTAACACTGTATTAATAACACAAAATCGATTTTTGCGATGAGTGACTGTTTGGCTTGTCTTTGCCACATATGATTGTAATCTAAATTGGAAGAGTTGACTTGCAAACATAAACTTTAAAAAATGCAAAATGTTATTTAAGTATAAAATCATGGACTTGAGGTTAATATTTTGGTCAGCATATAATTATGAATCAATTAATCTACATGGTTTTGTTTGCTTTCAGCAGAAATGAACTATTTTGGCTGACGCTGTAGCTTGCTGGGTAAGATACTTGCATCCTAATCTCAGGGCTGTGTTAGAAACCCTGCGATAACATAATAAAAACACCTCTTCCTAAAGTCTTGTAACTTTATACAGCATTGTTGAACCCTTTAATATGTAAGTGTACTACTGTTGGATGTAAAAAAAATATAATAAAAATATATAAAAAAATAACCAAATACCAAAGCAAACTGAATTGCTGAAGGACTAACTAAACCCGGCAGGCGACATGATTCTATGGAGAAATCAAGCGCCATGACGCACAGCGTATTGTTTATAACGATGATCTGTTCAGATTTCCACCGTCAGTTATCGATCGTCAATGGTGTCGCGTTGCCTACCATTCACTGGGAGCAGGTTAGGATTTGTCGGCGGATAGCCGTACAACGCAGAGTATTCGCCAAAAAAAATAAGAAGCATACAGGTTTTAATTTAATACAGAAAATTGCATATTATTATTAAAAGAGAGAGAGAGAGAAAAAAAATGATCTTACCAAACCTATTAATTGTAGTGGTAACATATGGTAAAGGAACAGCACACCAGTAGTAAACATACACCACCACATGTTACCCCAAGGTTCAGTAGTATAAGCACCTGAAACACAGTTAATTTCCTTTGTTAATTTATTTAAAGTATTTCATTTTAGTTTAATTCACATTTAACAATGGGGAGCCCGCCATTTACATAATGGAATACATAAAACATAAGATATTCTATTAGATGGTAAAACCATCTTACTCAAAACATTTCATTATTTAATTATTATTTCATTTCACTTTATCATATTTCATTATGTTTTTAAATGTGGCAAAGACAAGCCAAACCAGTCACTCGTCGCAAATATCAATTTTTAATTATTAAGACAAGGTTAAACAGTAAAATGAGAGCTATAAAATGGTATAAGAATCATTTAAATCTGACTCTCGTTATGAAGTTACAGGAGTTTATACATACATCTGTTTAAAGAACAATATTTGAGAAATCAGCCTTCAAAATTTATGATTTCAGGCATTTTTCAGGCAGAAACCATCACCAAATCATTAAAAATAGATGAAAAAAGGGGAAAATAACAATATAGCATGATGTATAGATATATAAAGATTATTGCAATAAAATAGATTTCAAAAATTTTGACATTCTAGCATGTTTTGGCCATTATCTCTGAAACACAATCTGCGACAAGTGACTGGTTTGGTTTGGATTGCCTTTGCCACAAATACTCATCAGTTATTAAATATATTCTCTCATATAATGGACCTTTCAGTAGAAGTGGCAGATCCTGGAATTTTCAATAGAGGGGGCCCAGCGAGGGACTTTCACAAATGGAGGTTCATACTATCTCAGCCCCACCTTGGTTGGGGCTAATGTAAGAAAATGTATGATTATGGTACCTCTAGATGGCCGGAAATGACAATACTTATTACTAGACTCAAAATTTGAGTAGAGTTTTTTGTAATTCTCAATTTATTTTAAATTTTGAAAAATTTAGGGGTAAGTGCAGGCTGTGGCCCCCCACCCCCCTTGAATGCGCCTCTGCGAAGTGACAAACAACTTAACAACTGACCAATCAGAACACGGCCAGGTATATGCGTGTGCCTGACAAGTACGTGTTGTCAACAGATGCACATGTTTACGTATTTTTTTTACATTGTTGTTTTGTGAGATCTTAGCAACAATATCCTAGGGGCGGGGCTTAGCGGGAAAAAAAAGATTAAAAGATTCAAAATAACTTTATTTGCAAACTTAAGGAAAATTTGAAATGTACAGAAAAATTATTAGTAATATACAAAATATAAAAGTCCATAAACTTCATTAAAAATGTATTCAAACAAACAATCAGAGGCTTAAAAAGTGACAACTGCAACAAAAAAATCTGGACACCAGAAAACTTAATTCAACTTTAAATCAGCTACACAGTAATGTATACTTATCATCTCTTCAAAGTTTAATTAAAAACAGATAAACTTTAAACATTATAGTTACTCACCTCTTAAGCTTAACAAGTATGGTGGAATTACCACGTATATAAGAATGTGTTGAAGCCAATAAATTTCAGTTTCAAATGGTAACTATCAAAATACAAAAAATAAAACAAGATGCTGAGTGTTATACAATTTTATAAGAAAACAATAAAATAATCCTATTTTTAACTGTAAAGAAAGTGAATAATTTGTTAAATGTGTGTGTGCCATAAATGACTGCATAATAATATTAACAACTCTCTAGTGCAAATGCTGCACACGTAAAATACAGTAGAACCCAATTAAGGAGACAACCTCGGAACTCAAACAAATGTGTCCCTTTAATAGGGGTATAGGGACACTAACCGAAAACATGAAATTATCCATTTGGTTATTATACTGTACAAAGTAACCCACACAATTCATTTTAAGGATAAAAAAAAAGTCTCAAAAGTTGTCAAAATATAAATTTGAATGAAATATTGTTATTTTGAATCTACAGTATTTTAGTTGTAGTGATACAATAAATTTTTTTTAGTGATGATAAAAAAAAAAGTGTCCCTTAATAGGGTTGAAAATGTATTGATTTGACCATTTGGCAAACTCAGAAAGCGATCTGTCACCTTAATAGGGGTGTCCCCTTAATAGGAGTTGGCCATAGTGTTAAAAGGTGTTTCACCTACGTGTCACACAAGAGTGTACCTCTAATAATTGCAGTGGAGTTAGACATATATATACCTAACATGTCTTTAATGTTTTCTATTGTATCATCAGGACACTCTTACAAAATCCTGAGCCCAAAAATATCTCCCAATGAGCCCCACCAGGGATTTCATTCCAAGACCCTGTCATTGTTGTCTGCTGATTATAAACATAATTTTAAAATTTTGCATATTTGTATTTTCATTTTATAAGTTATTAATTTTTTTTAGAGTCTTAATGACTTTTAAGTGCTTGTATTTCAATCATTAAATCATGTTTGTCATTGCATCCTATTTTTTTATTGACGAAATAAATGAATATGAAATCCGTATATCTGTAAAATATGAAAATCGGTCCATTTCTGAATGAGCAGCACTACTCAAGTATTATTCAACACTTTTTCTTTGAACTTTAGGTAGCGCTGTCTGCTAGCAATAAGTCTGTTCACGGATCTTACAATTAAACTCTATACTGTACATACAGTACATTTAAAATTCATTTAATATACATACTGCACTTAATTTGCTTGGAATTATTGATTTAATCGAAACGTTAAACTATTAAAATTTAATAAATTTTTAACCTTTTCAATTTAAACCTTTACAATTACTATTTTGAATGTTTTATGGTAAAATGTATTTGTTTTATAGTATGTAATTTTATCCATGTGAATAATTTAAACTGTTCAAAACAGAATTTCAAACTATATTTTTGCTGTGTCAATAAACATTGAATTGACTTGAATGTAATTTAAGCACAGACTTACCAATCTGGTATTCACAACGGGCAACAAAATCGCAAGCAGTGGGCAACTAAGTGATGTCATTTGCATTCTAAAGACAACAAGTACTGTTTTGCTTGGTGGAACAGCTAACAAATATATCTGAAAATACAATATATCAAGTGTTGTGAATATAAAAATGGGAAAGTTAATGCCTTGCTTTTTGGAACCACAACCTACAGTATATCATTCTATTTCAGAGGACATTTATTTACCAAAACAACCAATTCCTTCCCTTTCCTGGCAAAAATTTATTTTATTTAAATAACCTATTTGTTGTTATTTTTTCATATTAACCTATTTAATTTTTTTTTTCATACATCAAAACTACCAGCTTAACATTGTATTCACTTATTTTCTTACATTTTTACCTTGCATGTGTGTACTGTATATTGTGATTTTAAGTCATAAAAGTATCAGTTCACCTGCCTATACTGTATTTAAAATATGGTAAATTAACTACCGAAAGGTTTGCTGATTAATCTTGACTTGCAGTACTTGTGCAAATGGGAAGCAAATTTTCAAAACACTTTTTTGACTCTTACTGGGAAGCACATTATACTGGGGAACAATACCAAACCCTTTTACTATAGGCACTCTTTTTTTTTCTTTGGATCACCTATAACCTTTCATTGTCTGAAGACCTTGCATATGCATTTTTTTCATTTCCTTTGTGTCTCTGGGTGGGATGCCTCTTTGCTATTAAAAAACACCCTTGACTCGATCATACAAATGCAAAGAGATAAAAAAAAAATAGTACCACTTAAATTTTTAAAAAGTTAGATTCAACATAATTTTCAAGTAAAGATTACTTGGTAGTATCTTTGATTTTTGCAGGGTTTTTTAAAAGCTTTTCTATTTTCCTTTTGTTTGTATTTTTGTACAGTAAGTTTATATTGTTTAGTGGTTCATTTTATAGTTAGTTTTTATGATTTGCAAAAGGTACATATACGACCTTGCGGAAGAACACTACTGTACCCTGGTGAACAAGCTTCCATTGTAGAACAAAAATTTTATTAATTATTACTAGAAATTGCAAATTGCAAGTGAAGTGCTGCGAAGTAGGCCTACAACAGCATATAAATGTTCTTCGAACAAAATTATTTATGCGAGTCAAGTGAAAATAATGAATAATAAAAATATAACAAATAATATGAGACACGACCCATTGTCTATATTAGAACAGAAAATGTAGTTGATTACCAAAGGTTACAATTTTTATTTTGAAGACTGCATGGT